CGAAGCCTCGAATGAAAGTTCAACCGTGAAAGACCCAAGAAAATACCACGTGCCATGCTGTTTCATATCATACAATCGCAATTCAATCATCCTTATCTCTCGCTGTACCGTATGCTTTCGAGTAAGTATCACCAGGAAATTGTGGGACTGACTTCTCACGCCCAGTGCCCAGACTTTGATTTTCCGAACTCCGTCACTCCGACAAAATTCAAATTTGTCAATACATTTATTATTTGTTCGACCCGGAGTCTTCATATTAGCCCACATCCTTTCCTGCAACATTCGGTCCATTCTGTGGAAGTAGATGTACGAAGTGTCGTTTGGATGAACAGGATCCAGAGGACCACCATTTAAGACTAAGCTTACTGTCCTGGACTGTCCTGCATACTAACCGGTCGGAGATAGGTGCCTTTGAGTCCTCCGTATCCCCGTATGCGCGATGATCTGCAAGACTTATGAAAGTATTATTTTTCAATGGAATGTTTATTACTTATTTATGGATTGTTATTGCCCTATGGGACCGCCATCATGAACTGCTTAGTTAACACTCCTAACATCATGGAGACAAATTCCACGGCAAATTGGAAAGAAGAAATGGCACCCCATCTTTTGGTTGAAAATATATCCGACGACTCAGCTTGATGTACCCCAACTTCTTTCGGGCCTACCGAGCCGGATATCCTTGCGCTATAAATTCACCATCGGCTATCTTATGGACTATCAACGATACCCGAAGGCCAAGCTCATTGAAGTCTGTCGGTCCCGCCTTTTGTCACGGCTCCGAATCCCATGACTTTAATTTTTTTGCAATCATTTTTGCGGAGAAGCACAACTTCTCCGGGAGATCTTCATTGAATAGACCCTGTACGTCAACCGTGGAATTAACTTACGGTATGATGTGCGAAGATTCTCCGGCTTTATTTACGACTGCCAGGCGCATCAACAAATTGGACAAATATATATATGCCTGTATAAGCCCGTGGCAAGGGTCAAAATGCATGGTAACGTCCGAAACAATTGCGCGAGCCTTATACGTCCACATGAAGCGTGAAGAATTGATAAACTTCAAGTACCATTATGAGTACCCCCCGATGTCAGTCATGCGTATCATGCTCCGCAAGGTACTAGTACAATTACTTGATGCCATATGCAAGTATGACGCGAGTTCGTAACATTGTGGATGTATTGTAGGTGGCCCGTATGTGCTATGCTACGTTCATTTTCGCTCTTGAGACTTGGAGAGACTTGAAATAGCACATTTGTTATTACTGTAAACAGAACACAGGTACGTTTTATACAAATGGTCTCGATTTTGTACCGTATCATATGTCCTCCTTGCTCCTGCTCCCTACCCCTTCGCTGCCAATCGCCGTCTGGAGCCGCTGTTACAAAGGGACTTGGAAAGTCAAGTCTTTCCAGCTTCTAAAACACCACTAGGAAAAGGAACGTCAGTACGTGACCCCGTAATGGATGGGAGAATTACTTCAATTTGTTGGTGCCGGATCCTCCCTTCCACTATCAAAGGGCGATGTCACACGAAGAAGCGCTTCATCTGCTCAAATGATTCCCTAAGATGATATGCGGAGCCGATCCCAAGGAGAGCCATTATTACACTCACCGACCCTTGACTCGAGCAGTGCCCTCCAACACGATTGCTCTTCCTCCAACTCTGCAGTATGTCGTTTCAGGGGGATAACCTTTGAACTTGATACATTGATGGCTGAGAAGATCTAGGTACGTTGAGAATTTTGCGATTCTTGGAGAGGCGATGGCATGTTGCTTGAGACGTTTGAGTTAGCACTTTGGCCACGACCTGGGACTATATTTATGTTGAAAGAATGACTCTATTCTGGTTCCGAGCTCGGAAGAAGCAGCCTGTATCAGAGAAGAATGGGCCTCCACAGAGTGACGAAGGAAAATGAGTTAAAATGGAAACGAACCACGTGAGGCATTACAGCCACCATGACGCGTCGATCCGGCCTTTGTCTCGGAACCAACTTATTGCGCCGCTAGCTGCAAGTTCATTTTTTTCATGCAATGGTAGCCCGTCTCGCTTCTTCTTCTAGTTCCTTTAATTTCCGAGCTTCTTCCTTTCTCCTGTGTTCCTGTTGAAGTGGGATGTGGCCAAAAATTCAGTACCCTCGAAGGTCTTTCAGTCTTTCACAAGGACTTGCTGCTAAGCGCTAATACTCGACTATAAGCTCAAATAAAACTGGACAAGCCTCCACACATAAAACAGGGACCAATGAACATGACCAAGCCGCCATGGATGAAAGCACAGAGGAAAGTGATTAAGATGACGGCGAGGATCAGAGCTCGGAAGACGGCAAGGATGAAAGGCTTTCTGAGGAGAACACCGATTCTAATAGATCTGTAGAGTTGAGCTACCTCGACATCGAAGATACAGGGTCTGCCGACTGTAGCACATTTATATGACATTATTTTGGGCACCTAAGAGTTAAATGTAATCACTGCTACCATTTTACAACCAGTCTGCATGAGGCAGAAATAATACTATGCAATCTCGAACACCAGGTTATTATTATGGGGGTTCCTAATAGCATACGAAAAGGTCGCAACATCATGCCTTGGCTATATGGCTTCGTAAGGACTGGGCAACGCAGATAAGAATTATGCCGGACCGTGGTCGCCGCAACTCCCGGCAAATTTTTTCCCAATCTGCTGATGCTCAGACGCGCGATCCGATCATCTTGGTCGATCCCCAGTGTCATCAAGCTAGAACAAACAAAGATAAATCTTCAACGAGGCCTCGACGTCCAACTTGGACTCAGACTCCATCCATCACCACAATGGCTACCTCTATCGACGACAAGGTTCCTCATAGCACGTCATCTAGCCCTCTAATTGACTTGGAGAAATCCTTTGTCGATGTACACGCTACTAGTCTTCTCTTGGAGTCGCTTTCCATGGACTCATTATCAACAGTATCTTCAGAATCTCATATCCCGCCATTCCCTCCTGGATGCATGATACCTATGTCGACGATTCTCAGCGTGTCCCTCAAGGCGGGGGAACACAACGCGACCATTACTGTCCCTACTCCTCCCCGGCTTCGTACGATGCTGAAGGAAAATCTATGCATCAAAAAGTGGGCAGTACGTTCGGCTTATCCTGATTTTCCGCATAAAGTTATGAGGTTTTGCAGGAAAATCTTTCTTCTGATACTATTGCACCGGGTCACACACCCTGGGAGGATCCGGAATGTGTAGACGCGCCAGCATGGAAACCAGAAGGCTCAATGTACCCACCTGAAGAGTTCAAGGAATCTCTTCAAAGCAAGCGCCGCGTTTTTGAATCTAGTCTGCCAGCTCCTCGGGCATCTACACGAACCTCCACTCCCAAATCAACATACCACCGCGACGCTCTGGTATTTGAACGCGAAATCACGCTCAGAACAGAAGGCGAGACGAAACGCTGGTCGGTTCAGGTTCCCGCCAACACTATGAAGCCCGATGTGGTCGACATGATGCTACAACTACGCGACTTGAACAAGTATTTCTCTGACACCCCTTGTCCTGAGGAGGACGCCATCAATGCGCCCCCCTCACCTCCATCTCTAATGGTCTCCAATTCTCACTTCACCATACCTATATCTCTCGATTCTTCGGGAACTATCAACTCTAAAGCTGGTGCACCCCCTTCTATAGCGATTCGACGGCAGAAATCGCTTCCGCCTCTCTCCTTGAGCAACAACAAGATGAAAGACATCGTATACCCTGACATCCCTACGGCCTTTTTGGGAATGCCCTCATATGCTCCTCATTTCGATCCTGCTAGCGTCGCCAATGAGTCTATGAACTTCGAGGACATGATTGGAAGTCTGAGGTCACGATGTGCGTCTCTCCAGGTCAAGACTCCCCTGGACGATGACTTCAACAGCATACGGGCCGATGCGCCGCTCGATGATGAATGGGCCTTTGCGGACACATTGAAGCAACCTTTTTTTTCGACTCCCTCGAATTATTGTGATACAACGACTCCTTCACATGATTCATTCGCACTCATCGCAGGCGATCAGACGGTGTCGTTCGATGAAACATTGGTCGGTAACGATAGTGCTATGGTCAAGTCCCTTGATCCTAATAACCTCGAGTTCTATGGACGTTCGTCTGGGGTTCCGCCTACTGCATCGGACTACCTTCCTCCCTCGTCACCTCTTCCTTCTTGTCCAGCTCCTACAGGAACCATCTTACCGCGCGGTATATTAAAGAGATGCAAAAGCGTCAGATTTGCATCCTCAGACCAGGAATGCGAAATTCAGGTGCAGAGTGATGCAGAGCGACGCCCTCGTCATTCAACGGGCTCATATACGCCACTTGCTCACCGAACAACGAAGTGCCGTACGATCTATGCTCCCACAAACAAAATAGTACCCCCGCAGGATGTTCCGCCTAACAATAATCAATCCACTTTTTTACGTGCAGCCGGATATCAGAAGCCTGAGACTATTATTCGTTCAACAGTCACGTCCTCTCCTCCGCGCGCGATGTCGACACCACCTGTTGAGAGACGTCCGTCATCTCTCCGTTCCCCAACGAAGACGAGGACCAGACATAGTCAACCTGCGGTATCTTCCTCTACCAGAGCAACGTCAACGACCGAGAAGCGCGCGCGCTCGCCCACTACGATAACAACAACTCCGGAAGCATCGTTTCCGAAGCCAAGGCCTTCTCACACTTCACCCCTGGGTCGTTACTCTTTTGGTCGTGCGGCAGTCAATGCGCTTCAAGGAAGTGCTGCTAGTGGTAAGGAAAATAAGGCAAAATCGAGGGCATCGCTATCCCCAGCAGAGTATCTGTCGAAGTCGATGGTCGATGAGAATTCAGTAAGGCGTGGGAGCCAGGGGGAAATGAAGAGTCGTATGCCGTTACCATTGAGGAATATCTTGACACGATTCAAATAAACATTCTAAGTATGACGCTATTCACCTATTATGAGGCGGGTCGGATTGGTGACTAACCCGAAAATATCGGAAATATGGCCTGATGGTCTAGTAGTATGATTCCTTGTTAGGGTGTTCTAAAATCCATCGAGGAGGTCCCGGGTTCAATTCCCGGTCAGGCCCTTCAAGAGGTAGAACTAATTGAAAAAAATTTTCAAGGAAAAGTCTAGGGTTGCATCCAAAAGTTCAAGACCTCCAGGTTCCAGGGGGGGTTATAGATTTGTACCTCCCTCTCCTGAAGGGGGTGTTTTGATACAATAGTTGAAAGTGAATGGATGAGCAGCTAACCTCCTGGTCCGAAGCCTCCAGAAAAGTTACCAGATGTTTGACTAGTGATGCTTGAGAAAAGTTGAGTCATAAAAAAGAAGAGTACAGTGATTGTGGAGTCTGGACTTAATGTACCTTTTTTCTCAATACCCGGGACACCTTCATGGCTTCGCCATAACTTAATATTTTGAACACGACCGGCAAGTAAGTATGCTAAAACTACCCCATCGCTACCTTTTAGTGGGACTCCATGAAAAACGGTATTGCTACGAGTTCAACTGCTGAAATTCTCGTGTTGTCATTCCCTTCAAATGGTGTTCCTTCAAACTTCAGTCTAAAGTAACTTTGAAAAAAGACAGTGGGCCTGACCGGGAATTGAACCCGGGACCTCCTCGATGGATTTTAGAACACCCTAACAAGGAATCATACTACTAGACCATCAGGCCAACGACCAGAATGGTGTCTGAGTCTATAGGTTCTTGGACGCAACTCCGGCGACAAACACTGAAAAAATCCAAAAACTATAGAGCCCAGGCTGTAATCATCTCAAGAACCTCCCCGTCCGCGACCTGATCCTCCCCGGCTCATTCCCCTACCGGCAAATCCGATCCTGAAGAAAGGATTGCCACGAGCGATAAAGGGATCGCCAGGATCTCGAAGGATGATTGGCGGTGTAAAAAAGTGGCGGGGCGGAGGCTGCCTTGTAGGTTCATCTTTCTCGACATCGCTGTCTGCATCATCCGTATTCTCCTGTTGTACAGTATTTATGAGCATGGCTGCGTCTTGATGGCTCTATCAGTCATACCTCAAGGTCAATGACCAGTGCCCCTGAATGCCATCCAGACGCTGCGGCTGAAAGACAGAACCTGTCCTTTGGTTTCTTCCTACCATGATCGAACCGTACTTCATTGGGAACTTGGACGACAGCGGGAGTGCCTCTTCCTCTGTCTAGAGCCATAAGCCGCGCATTCTCGGTCTGAAATGCACCCGGACAACCAGCCTCGAGCCGACAAGGATCTCCTAGTCCGAGAGCTCCATCGGAGTATCCGCCCCAAGTTAACAATTTGCCGGCCGCCGTCACTGCCGCTTGATGATAGTCTCCGAGCACAACGGATATAACTGATTTGTTCTGAAGCGCAGGAATGATTTGTGGCTCAGAATCGGGCGTAGTGTCAATGTCTCCCATAAGAACGATTGAGCTAGAACCAGTGGAATAGGCAATGAAGTGTTTGAAGTGGGCGGATATCTTCCGAGATCTAAGTCATCTTAACGCCAAGGACGAAACAGACACTGACATGTGTGATCTTCATTGTCGCTGGAGGCTCTACTGAACCGCCGGTCAAAGAAAACGTTTCATGCTGTCGGACTCTTTCGACTTCGCTGTACCTTGGTAACTAAGCAAAGAAAAAGGATGAACGAGTACCAGCGCTCATATAGTAAGGAGTTACATATTCCCATCGGCCACGAACTAAAGTCGTTTCGTCTTCTAGGGAGTCAAACTTGAGGACATGCCCTTTCGTCGTAACAGCGATAAGATGACGGTCATATGATGCTATTTGTATGACTCTGATGGGTTCATCGATGTCGCCTTCCGGAGAAGTATTCAAGACGGGAAGAGGAGGTAGTGAAGGCAAAGCGGTGAGATCCATATCAAGGTCCCAAGGCACACATGCAATGACACCGTCGCTTGAGACATGAGCTTTCTTATCGCCGTCATCGTTCATCGCCGAATTCCTCGCTTCGACGTGTCTTTCCATGGAGCCCGATAATGGCCACCAAACAAAAATGTCGCCGGTTTTCGTCAAAGCAGAAGAAAATTTCCACCCACATTCAACCTGAATTGGATAGGAATCGAATGTCTTGAGACGGGGCGACGTTAATCGGAATGGCCGCCCCCAATTGAGGAAGTTCCAAACGTAGCCTTGAGAGTCCAAAGATGCCGCATGCAATCTCCCGCAGCTTATGCACATTAATAATAAGTATTGGTGCAAAGTTTAAAGCGCGTGACCAACCTGATGCTGCGCATCGAAACTGGTAAACGCAGTCTCAACGGGTGTCCTGCTTGCTTGCCTGCCTCAGAAAAGCCATCACTAGTCAGGGCACGCTGAAGTCCGTCAAGAGTACCTGAGAGTAAACATTTATTTTACAAACTAACGTGAAAAGCATTCAACGAACCCCAAACAAAAATGTTCCCCTTTGAATCTAAGGCGTGAAACGACCTATTGTTGGAAGGGCAAAAAGTCACGGTCCTGAAATGGATAAACGAAGCGGAGGACCCTTACATTCCCGCTGCGACGAGGCTGACGATACGGGCGCCAGGTATTTTCAGCTCAGTTGGAAAAGGTACATCATTAAGCGAGGTTTTAGGCAGTGTTGACAACCCGAGTCTCCCATGAGATTTCGCTCTGCGCTCAGCCATCAGTAGGATGTATAAAATGCATATTGCGGTTTATAGAAATACTGACCCCCAAACAAAAACTGTTGCATGATGGGTGTGTCACAATAAATGCTTGACAACAATGTCGTGAAGCATACCGCGTGGTTTGGACAGACGTGAATAAATAAACTTCCAGCCGCTGGTTCGAGCAGTTCCAGCCCCAGAAAAATTGAAGTGGGATTGGCATTTGAGTTTCCAAAAAGTACCATCGGATGCAAGCAAAGCAAAGAACTAGAACAAAGCCCAAAAGTCACGACTTGGGGGGATGTATAGGCGCTGATCAAGTACCTTGCAGGTTGCGGCCAGATGGGCAAGATCGCTCACTGGAAGTAATGGCAGTAAATTGTCCAAGAAAAGCTCTACGGGCAAATCGGTTATAGAGGGCATCGCGACGGATTCAACGGATGATGAGAGTAAAAGGACAAGAGAATCCAGACTACAGTCAAGTGGAACGACAAGTGACGTCATTGCACAGTCGGTCACAGCATCACGATGTCACATCATGCGGTGACGGCCCGCCTCGACGCCACTTGTTTCGACTCGTCAGCGACAGCTTGGAAGCCGCAAGCCAAATATTACAGGCGCTCTCTCTGACAGGAACTGTTGAATAATTTTCATCTTCAAAGTTTGCCGCGTTGATAGAATTCGTTTTTATTTGACGGCCATTCCCGTTGAATAGTCTTTTTTCGACAACTCTGCATTCCAGCAAGGGTTTCACCGGTGTAGATATCTTTATCACTCTATGCAGTTATTCCTCTCCTGAATATATCTCCAGCTGCTTGTATTCGTCAAGTGCTTCCGAACATCGGCCATCATTCCTGTACTGGTGTTCTTTCTTTTCAATGGCGACGGTCTCAATCTCGATGTTTAAATCCTTCTGCGGAGCAACATCCGTAACTCTGGATTCAATTCATCGGATTGTCCGATGGTTTTTGACGTGTACAGTCCGCACAAGCGCCTGATTTCGTCATTGTATTCGCCGGCACTTCTATGTACTCTTTTTGGCAGCCTCTGGGGGTTCTCTTTATCTCGTCAACTCCTATAGGATTATGTCGTTGATTTTGACTTTTGGGCATGTTTCACCAAACGGGGACATTTCCGACGTTCCGTAGCCCGACACATTCGCCACTACATAATGGGTTCATTGACATCGACCTCCATGCCGTTCACACGACCGCCGTTGAACAAAACAATATCGGATATTGTATTTTTTCAATACCCCCTCGTCTTGGTGAATCTGCCGATGTCCAAATATACATCCCCCTTTAGAGTTCTATAGCCACATGATACGAAATTCTCGTGTCTATTGTATACAGAGAAGGGAAATCATTCAGTTTTCCTCTGCGGGCCTTTTCGTATGTCTGACCTGGTCACTGGCACACTCTTGACATTGACAAGCCGGAGAATTATGGTTACCGAATCGTTCATGATGTCTGCATTCGGCCTTCTAAGGTTGAAAGAAGCAGAACATCTACAACACCGGTCGATCCTTTACTTCACAATTGAATGTATGTTTTCTGTCAATGTTATCTGATGTTTACGATTAATCATGTTGTGCTTAGAAAACCGGTAGTGCACACACAATAATTTTCTCAAGATCATTTAGGTCTCAAATTTTTTAAGTTTATATTATTCCTATTGCAATAGGCGTCTGGGCAGTTCCATCTCCGGCATATGTATTCACGGAGTGTTACAACAACCGACAAGGTGCCCAGCTTCCGGAGCTGTAAACTTGTATACTTTTCCACCACGACCACCAGAACGAGGAGTACTTTGTGCCTGTGTCGGACGCTGTAGCCGCCTCATGGAAACACTACGTTGGAGTAGGACATGAGGATGTCTCCTTACAGTTCCTGTCGATCATTGTGGTAGACAGATTTTGCCGAACTCTCACCTTCGCATTCTACCCTATACGTACACTCCCCAGTTACGGCCCGACGTTCCGTTGACTTCGCAATGTGAGCAGCAGCATACAGCATGCCATTGGTATACTCTTCACCTCAGCTTCCGTCCTTACACTTGCTCGCTCTTAGCGGACTTCCCGGCCAAGACTCATAAGACCAACGGACAGACCAGTCCGTATAGGCGTTTCGATCCGGTCTAGTTGCATATCACTCAGCTCATGACCGCCCCAATAATACTCGGCAAGGCACGGTCTTCTTTATTGTCCTGTCCGGTCCATAATTCGGTGGATGCCTTGTCATTTTCAAACTCGCAATTAAGTTTTCATTTCACCGGCGCGCTCCACATTTTGTCAGTCCCTTCCTCACAGCCCTGAGGCTAGGGCTAAAATCTGAAGCAGCATTCCGAGACTCATCCAACGTTTTCGGTACCGCAGAGCACAACGGTAAATTATCTTCGACCCGAGGGATACCTCTCTCTCTCTCTCCAAGCCGTTCAGCCGTTTTTCTCACTGTAC